CGAGTTTGGTAAGTTGTTTTTTTTTAAAATATTTATGGCATTTGAACCAAAATTATTAATTTATCTCGTAAAAAGCACTTCCCTCACTTGAATTCAAAGGGACATTTTATTGATGACGCGAGCACCTCAGAAAGACCGAGCAAGAATTCAAGAAAGGTTTGTGACGGAATTTGTCGAAAATCACAGCAGCTACTTGTTGTTTGTTTTTTTTTCCGAAGATTTTTGTCGATCTTAGAAAAATATATATGTTTCTTCCGTTAGTGGTTATGGAACAAGAAAATGCTGCTGTGGAAATTAATTGAAACCTAAAAAAGTAGCTGTGCAGTCAATCGTCCTCATCACTCTCGATAACAAATGGACGCTTGTTTCTATTACTCTTAAGGATTTTTACATCACCATGAAATATCTGGAAGGTGGATCCAATAATAGATGTACGTTTGCACCTGCAAAACCTGGAGCAGTGGAAGAGAGTAGAGGCCCGTTCATGACTGGCTAATCAATGCATTTCCATTACATTGCTGGTGGCGATTGCTGCAGTCGAGCGAGTAGCTACTTGATATTCTTGATTTTGCACACTTGAAATACTTTCATCTCTGGATTCAGAACGGTCAACCCTGCTGAGGATCACAGATATTTTCTTTTTCTTATCTGCATAGAGGAGCCTTGAAATACAGGTTTTCCTGGCAGAATGATTGCTTACCCTTTTTCCTTCAAGCTGAAGCCCAGCATTCTTCGCTTTTATGGAGAGAGTCTTTCTAATCTCATTTTTACCGAGGGGTGCCTTCCTTATTTGAGAGCCGATTATGGCGGACCGCCAAGTAGAACGGTGACTCTGGTGTATTCAGGCATCTCCACTGGCCGATGACTGCAAGATATTCTTGTAGAAATTACCTGAGTAACTCACCGACGAGGGATATTTATGCAACTACGGAAAACACAAGTGATATTAATCCTTAATTTTATTCGGCCCCAAATGATTACCTAAGCTAATTGAACAAGATGAATGCCGTGTCTGGCAAAAAGTAAACTTATTGTAAAAGAAATGTCTGTGTAATAAATGCGTCCACAGAGGTAAAAATGAGTTATATCTGGCGTGTAACATTGTACCAATGCAAACACTTATTATCCTCTTCGAGAAGTGTCGGAAGCTTCGTGTTTAACAACCCCCGGCGAATGATGCCATCGCCATTACGAAATATGCTAATATTCTACGTTAAGATCGCTTCTTTCAGTTCTTTGTATGATTCATTGTATTTCTTCTTTACCGGAAACGCACGATTGCACTCTAAGTAAGACAAACTTCCTCACCCTACCCCCCAGCCCGATATTTGAAAACTGTCCATACCGACAATTGATATTAATTAATGATGCATATTCCAGATGGTCGACTGGTAATCGTGGGCGCGCAGCGAGTGCAAGAGAGGTCATCGAGGTCGCGGGTTCGAATCACGCTATAGGAGTTATTCTTAATCTGGCTTGGGGGCCGAATAACTTCTCCCCGAGTATGATTTGGAGCTGGCGGACAAGGAGTAACTCTCAAACTGGCTTGGGGGCCGAGTAACTCCTCCCCTTTGCATTTTGTTTCTGATGTCTTTTCAATTTTTCCTCTTTTTATCATCATTTTATGCTCTGTTTTTTCCCCTTTTTTTAACTCGTGAATTGCGCGCATGCAGCGAGTTATAGATAGGATGTGGGAAATGGCATTCGCTCGCTCGCTCGATTGGTCGATTCCTGTAAACTTTTTTTAAATTTTAGGCTTTTGAGTGCATTTGATAGTTTTTGGCGAGCAATAAACATACGAAATGGCGACCTTTGTTGCTAAGAATAGTGCTGAGATGAAAAAGAAGCCAATGATAATCTTAAAATAGTTTTTTTTTTCGTTTTAGTTTCAACAAGCGGCGCCAGCGACTGGCAGGCATGCAAGGATTCACACTGAAATAACAGAACAACCTTCGTTTTTTCATAAAATTGTAATTTACAATCCTTGAACTTGAAAACAATCCGAAGATTCATTGAAAATATCACTTACTGCGAAGCACTCGGAGTTTACAGATGTTCAAAAGCTTTTTCTGTTATGGCGTGAGATTGAGGACAAAATTGATCATTACGTTTCGTCGCGTGTGTTTTTCCTGTGTGAAGCAACAAAAGATGCCGGCGACTGACGAAATAACAAGTTAACACGAAAATCAAATAACACCTAAACAAACCTTTTTTAGCTGTCGTTTTTCAGTGAATTTTAAAAGAACAATTTTATTTTAAGTTTCAAGACAATTTGAAGATTCAACATACATACAACGTACTAAAATGCGAAAGTTACACACCACAAAATTGATAAATAGGCCTGAAATGAAATTTTATCTTGTTATTGATTATACGTTGCCTAGCACGTGACTTAAATCTACCCAGGCGGAGATCCAAAATGACGGTGGCAGGCTTGGCTTAGTTATATCACTCAAAACTCGTTCCTGTTTGTCTCATTTGATAAAGAGGGAATCGTTAATGTTTTCATTAAGAAAGTATTGCCTTGATTTTCTAATATTTACAATGAAAGACAGTAAATTTCACTTTTCACCCACATTTACTTCCAACCTTTTCTTTTGAACCAGAAACAAAAATGATAGACGTTTAAAACACATGACATCATCCACCTTGTCAAATGCAATAGCATGATCATTTCAATTGTAATGCCTTCTTATCCCAACGTTACTTTGTTTCTTTGCCACATTAGCGAACACTGAACTACTGCTCGTACTTTAAATATGACAATCAACCACAAAATTCCCTAAACCAGATAACATTAAACATAATCTAAAAAATCATGTGTCAATTCACGAGTTTGCTCACAGAGCACTTTGATTTTTCTGAACAGTTGTATTTTCGAGAACGGTTTTGGTATGTGTCGGTTGCATTTTTCCTTTTTTTCGAAATCAGGTATAAAATCTTTCTCTCTGTTTATGTCATTATTATTATTACCACTTATTGCATTTTTCCTTTTTTTCGAAATCAGGTATAAAATCTTTCTCTCTGTTTATGTCATTATTATTATTACCACTTATTCCATTTTTCCTTTTTTTCGAAATCAGGTGTAACATCTTTCTCTCTGTTTATCTCATTATTATTATTACCACTTATTCCCTTTTTTAACTATCTGATTTCTGCATTTCCTTTGGGGTTGGTTGCATACCAGTGTATTCTAAAGTAGCTTTAAGTTGTCGCCCATAAGTAATTCAGCTTGAACAATAGGAGTTTGTGTCAAAATATTTCCATCCTCTCCCTTTTTTTCCCCATTGAATACAGCTGAAGTTTTGAAAAAAAGATCCCCAATTTGAATCAACACCTTTCATCATTTACAACCTTTACGGTCCCTTTTATTAGGGAAATAATCTCACCGATTGATGTAAGCACCAGCCCTGTTGTCAAGAACCAAACAGACCGTGGACTAAATTGATATCTTTTACATTTAGCTGCAATGCTAAAAGAGGGTCTGAATGGGGGTACTTCGATAACACTAAACACTTATTTCTTTTGGCTATATAACATTAAACAGTTAATTTTTAGCTATTTTAACACTAACATTAAATAATTCGTTGTAACATTATTTTTTTCTCATACGCCTAAAATGTTTATTTTTGGGCCTATGTTTTTTCTTCAAACAAACAATCTTTTACGCCCATTTGTGATAAAAGGAGAAATATCTATGGCGCAAGTTGGGCACCATCATTATGGAATGCTTTGCCAAGTGAAATTGTATCAAAGTTAAGGCTTTTTTTTGGTGAACAGTAGGATACTGGCGTGGTATAAATCTTTTATTATTATTATTATTATTATTATTATTATTTATAATTAATATTTTCTTAAGTGTTCAATTAGGCGCCTTTGAACAGTAGGATACTGGCGCGGTATAAATCTTTTATTATTATTATTATTATTATTAACAACTCGGGATTATTTCAAGACTTCCGAAGAGTGAGAAAGATATCTTAAAGCTGCCGAAGATGTCCGAAAGCTGTCGAAGATGTCTGAAGGCTGCCGAAGATGTCCGAAACACTGCCGAAGATGTCCAAAGACTACCGAAGATGTCCACTGAGACTGCCAAAGATGTTCACAAACTTATGACCGACAATATTTGAAGACTACCGCAGATTTGGCTTGTATAACTCATAACAGTTCTATTCTTAAAGCACTTTTACAGCGAGGATACACCAACCGTGACCACTTGGAGAGAATATATCAGTAACAAATCAGATTACGATATTCAAATCAAACAGCCACTGGGATAGAACATCGAAATAACAAGTAACATTAAGCAAATTTACGGATTGTCATCCGTTGTATGAATACCTCAATATGATTGGTTAGCTTTGTGAGATGGTCCCAGTTGGGGTATCCACATTGTAAACAAAAAGAGATAACTACGAAAATTACAAGGAAAATTAAATTTAACATAAATGAGTGTTTAAATTTGACTAGTAATGAATGCAATAACAGACTATTTCTTTTACCAATTAGATCGGCTATATTACTCAGAATGTATAATGGTCAACAAAAATGACAGACATGTCACTCCATCCTGGCCAAAAACATTTAATTATATTCCATACCTGAATAGTCCCGATTGTCCTGATAATCCCAATTGTTTCTAGAGATCAAGGCGGAAATGAGTGCGGGCGACGCGACCAAATCTGCTGAACGTTATGTCTGTATCATTGTCCGCATCGCTCTCCGAGTCGGTGTCGAATTCATCCTCTTGCTCGGGGAGGTCTGTCGCGTCACCAACTGTGACAACTCCGAGCATGCTTTCGTCAACAAAGGTGATTTTCGGTACTTCGTTTGTAGTTCGTGGAATATTTGTATCCTGGTCGACTCGTTCTTCATTGTCTGTCCCTGGATCATCTTAAACATCCTCTTGGAATGTTACTCTAGTATACGATGGCGTACTGGGATATACAGCTGGCGGCAGGGCCCCTGCTTTGTCTTTTGTCGATTCGCTTCTTACCGTCCTTGACAGGTCGATACCTGTCAACCAATTCCTTCATGGCTGCCTCAATGTTGGGGTCAACGTTATCTGCTGGAGGAAGTTTCATCACATTTACGTCCCGTAACTCCACACTGGATTTAGGCACTGGATAATAAGACTTCTCAAGTGTGAAGTACTTCGCACCCCACTTTGTTGTTCTCTTTAAAGATTCCTTTGAAATTGTTCCAAAGTCTTGACCATACTGAAGAGCGGTGAAAGTCTCGTTTTTGAAGTGGGAGACTGCATGAAGGTTCTCCACCTGAGTTGTTAGCAGCGTACGCAGGTCAATGTCACCAAGATAGTCCTCGTTTACATTCTTAACGTTATCTCGTAGCTGTTCCATACCTCTTTCGAGAAGCACCAATGACTCCTGTGTTTTTCTGGAAACAGTTCCTTCAGGGCCATTTATTGTTGCTGTTTCTTTCATTTTATAGTGCTGCCTTACTTCAGCGACTGTGTTTTTAATATAAGCATTTACAGATGAAACATTGCACACAGCATCTTGAGGTTGCGACGAAAGGACACTTTGCCAGTAAGCCCCGAAACTAGTTTGATTGTTTCAGCAGCTATATCAGAAACAAAAAAATTTTCTACAAGGAACAGATTGCATGAACTTGTGTAAATGAGCAGCTTTCTTCAGTTCCATCAGCGGTTCCTTCATGGCCAGTACCCAACAAGGTCTCGACTGTTGCACTTAAGGAATTAAAGGTCTTAACCTTTTGATCTTTGTTGTCAGTGAAAACAATGTTGCCCTCATAACCATACAGCCTCTTGATTTCCTTACAAGAATCTGAGGAATTCCGCAAGAGTCACTCAACATTGAGAGAATCGAGGTTACAGCCATATAACTTTCCAGCTGCGCCAGTTGCAGCCAAGTATGCTGATTGCCGCAGAACATAAAGAGATTCAATACTTGTCACGTCATTGGAGTAGTTTATCTGTCTCAGCCTACTACTGATGATAGCCACTCCATTTTACTCTAACTCCAGCTGCATTATGCTTCTATGCTCATCATCTGCACACAAGAGGATATCCTTACTTGCCGCACAGATGGAAGTTGGTTTACTTAAAGGTGGGTTAATCTGGATAATTTGTTTATTCTCGACTTGTGCAGCTAAATATCTCAGATGTGTCGTCAACCGCTTCTGTAGAACTGGACCTGTACCCTCAAGTGACAATCTGAAACGACTAAGCTGCGAAAGCAAATTAGCTCGCGATTTTAGGCGTCCGGGTTTGAAAAGTACTTCGCCTTTCAATTCAATGAAACGGATTGCTGATGAGCCTCTCTCTGCAACGAAGATTACGCCATTGGTAAAGCATAGATCCCGCGCATCCTTGAATACTTCCCTCCGAACATTTACATCGACTGGTCGGTGTAAACGCAGTTCTACGAGACTATCGAGAGTCGAAATCGTAGTCTAACGCCAGTACTTTGCCTTGGGGCTCAATTTTAAGTGCAATTGGTCTTTCGCAAACACTACTTTGGTTGGATTTCCAGAAGCGATACTTTTCAGGAACTATTGTGTGGATTACCAAACGTATCCCTTTAAGTACATCTAGTACTGAGGGTCTAGTAAGGCGCATTATCGGTTCTAAGGACAAGAGCATTTCAGCTTTGGCTCACTGTTCGCGAGTGATTTTCTTGATTTTCTTGCAGAATTTAAAAGAGCAGATAAAATTTGAAAATGCTTAAAAAAAACTTTGGGGTCTCCTTTTAAACACTAAACAGTATTTTTTTCAAGAACAGTAAACATTAAAAAAATGGCTAATTTAACACTAAAAAATATAGGAAAATAACACTCTAAACCCCATTCAGACCCTCCTAAAAGAGAAAACTCCTACTACTCGCCGTGAAATTCGAGAAAAAACCCTCGCTAAGTTAACATGTAGATTTAGCTCTGACAGTCTTAAGTCTTCTCTTAGCATTAATTTTAAAACAGCATCAAACAATCCAAGTGCATGGAGCTCAGAAAACCTCTTCATCAGTAGTCACATCGCACAAGGGAGACCACCTGTTTTTGTAATGACTGCCAAGCGCTATCAAGAGTTTTCGACCAATTTTTCCATTGAAGACTCTAGAATTATTTCTGAAAAAGTCACAGTATTACACCCTTTTATTTGTTAAGGCATTTTATAAGAATTGAATCAGAGACCAAAGGAACTTGGCATTGTAGTAAGGTGTATTTGTTTTTCTTTTTCCTTTTCAAATGCCTCTATGTAAGATTATAATTATTCACTCATTAAATGATATTGAAAAAAGGGTTAAATTGACGGGGAAAATGTAAAAAATGATGTTAAGTAGCTAAATTATACTTATGATTTACTTTTAATAACACAAACAAACTTAGGGTAAGCAAAAATAGTGGATAATAAATCTTAAATAAATCTTGTGTACACAACTTCTCCTGTTCTTAAACTTGCCCATCAATGAAAGATGACACTTTACACCTTCTTGTGGTGCATGGGCATTCGCTCTTCTACAAGAGATATTTCCTCTTTATTTATTTATTATCTTTTATTTTGACTTTTACAACTATGGCTTACAGCAAAAGTACGTGAAATTCTAGAGTTAAAAAAGCTTTCTACCTTTTCTTTGTTAGCGTTCTTTCTATTCCGCGGAATGCATTTTTCGTGACTTGTGAAGCTTTTGTCGTCCTGGAGTTTGTATTTGCCACACCAGTATGTTACATTACGAATTTTCCTTTATTCACCTTTATGCACAAATCGAACGAGAGCCAATGCACACAATTGATAACCTCTTTTAGCTTCTTCAAGAAGTGTCGGAAGCTTCGTGTTTAACAACCCCCGGCAAATGATGCCATCCGCCATTACGAAATATGCTAATATTCCTCTTCAAGATCGCTTCTTTCAGTTCTTTGCATGATTCATTGTATTTATTCTTGACCGGAAACGCACGATTGCACTCTAAGCAAGACAAACTTCCTCATCCTACCCCCTAGCCCGGTATTTGAAAACTCTGCATACCGACAATTGATATTAATTAATGATGCATATTCCAGATGGTCGACTGGTAATCGTGGGCGCGCAACGAGTGCAAGTGAGGTCATCGAGGTCGCGGGTTCGAATCACGCTATAGGAGTTATTCTTAATCTGGCTTGGGGGCCGAATAACTTCTCCCCGAGTATGATTTGGAGCTGGCGGACAAGGAGTAACTCTCAAACTGGCTTGGGGGCCGAGTAACTCCTCCCCTTGGATTTGCATTTTGTTTCTGCTGTCTTTTCAATTTTTCCTCTTTTTATCATCATTTTATGCCCTGTTTTTTCCTCTTTTTTTCTGAGCAGTTGTATTTTCGAGAACGGTTTTGGTACGTGTCGGTTGCATTTTTCCTTTTTTTCGAAATCAGGTGTAACATCTTTTGTCTCTGATTATGTCATTATTATTATTGTTACCACTTATTCATTTTTTTTAATTATCTGATTTCTGCATTTCGGTTGGGGTCAGTTACATACCAATGTATTCTATTGTAGCTTTAATTTGTCGCTCCTAAGTAATTAAGCTTGAACAATAGGAGCTAGCGTCAAAATGTTTCCATCGACGTCTCCCTTTTTTTTCCCCGTTGAATGTAGCTGGAGTTTTAAAAATAAGATCTGCAATTTAAATCAACATCTTTCACTATTTACAACCTTTACGGTCCCTTTAATTGGGGAAATAATCTTATCGATTGATGTAAGCACCAGTCCTGTTGTCAAGGACCAAACAGACCGTGGACTAAATTGACATATTTCACATTTAGCTGCAATGCTAAAAGAGAAAACTCCTACTACTCGCCGTGAAACTAGAAAAACCCTCGCTAAGTTAACATGTAGATTTTGCTATGACAGTCTTAAGTCTTCTCTTAGCATTAATTTGAAAACAGCATCAAACAATCCAAGTGCATGGAGCTCAGAAAACTTTTTCATCAGTAGTTGAATCGCACAAGGGAGACCACCTGTTTTTGTAATGACTGTCAAGCGCCATCAAGAGTTTTCGACCAATTTTTCCATTGAAGACTCTAGAATTATTTCTGAAAAAAGTCACAGTATTACACCCTTTTATTTGTTAAAGCATTTTATAAGGATTGAATCAGAGACCAAAGGAACTTGGCATGTTGGTAAGGTGTATTTGTTTTTCTTTTTCCTTTTCAAATGCCTTTATGTGAGATTATAATTATTCAATCATTAAATGATATTGAAAAAGGGTTAAATTGACGGGGAAAATGTAGAAAATGATGTTAAGTAGCTAAATTATACTTATGATTTACTTTTAATAACACAAGCAAACTTAGGGTAAGCAAAAATGGTGGACAATAAATCTTAAATTAATCTTGTGTACACAACTGCTCCTGTTCATAAACTTGCCCATCAATGAAAGATGACACTTTACACCTTCTTGTGGTGCATAGGCATTCGGCCTCCTACAAGTGATATTTCCTCGTTATTTATTTATTTTCTTTTATTTTGACTTTTACAACTATGGCTTACAACAAAAGTACATGAAATTCTAGAGTTAAAAAGCTTTCTACCTTTTCTTTGTTAGCGTTCTTTCTATTCCGCGGAATGCATTATATTTTTCGTGACTTGTGAAGCATTTGTCGTCCTAGAGTTTGTATTTGCCACACCAGTATGTTACGTTACGAATTTTCCTTTATTCACCATTAGACACAAATCGGACGAGAGCCAATGCACACAATTGATAACTTCTTTGAGAAGTGTCCGAAGCGTCGTGTTTATCGAGCTCCAGCGAACGAGGCCGTCCGCCATTACGACATATGCTAATATTCCTCGTTGATATCGCTTCTTTCGGTTCTTTGTATGATTCATTTCCTTTATTCTTGACCGGAAACGCTCGATTGCACTCTCATTTGGACAAACTTCCTCACCCTCCCCCCCAGCCTGGTATTTGAAAACTCTCCATACCGACAACTAATACTATTTAACGATGTATATTCCAGATGGTCGACTGGTAATCGTGGGCGCGCAACGAGTGCAAATGAGGTTATCGAGGTCGCGGGTTCGAATCACGCTATAGGAGTTATTCTTAATCTGGCTTGGGGGCCGAATAACTTCTCCCCGAGTATGATTTGGAGCTGGCGGACAAGGAGCAACTCTCAAACTGGCTTGGGGGCCGAGTAACTCCTCCCCGTGGAATTCGCATTTTGATTTTGATGTCTTTTCATCATGTTTATCCTTTTTGATCTTTTTCTCTTTTTGTTTTCTGAGCAGTTATCTTTTAGGGCCACTAAATATTTTTCAGTGATATGGTTTTGGTATGTGTATATTGTTTTTTACCCCCTCTTCTTTCTTTCTTTTTCTCGAAATTAGATGTAATATAAAGATGTAATGTATTTTCCTAATTATTTTAACTTCTTACTGGTCGTGGTAATATGGACCGAACGCTGCGAGGTCTGCACGAAAACGATAGTACGGCTCAATTAGGCGAGTTTAATAAGTTTTTTTTTTTATAATTATTTATTGCATTCGAACCAAAATTATTAATAATTTATCTCTTAAAAAGCACTTTTCCTTCACTTGAATGTTATTTATGACGCGAGCACCTCAGAAAGACCGAGCAAGAATTCAAGAAAGGTTTGTGACGGAATTTGTCGAAAATCACAGCAGCTACTTGTTGTTTTTTTACATATGCCGAAGAATTTTGTCGATCTTAGAAAATATATATGTTTCTCACGTCAGTAATTATGGAGCGAGAAAATACTGCTGTGGAAATGAATTGAAACCTAAAAAAGTAGCTGTAAAGTCAATCGTTCCATCACGCTCGATAACAAATGGATGCTTGTTCCTATTATTCT